TAGAGACGAGGTCTTACCAAATTGCCCAGGATGGTCTCGAACCCCTGAGCTCAGGCAATCCTCTCGCCTCCATCTCCCAAAGTGCTGGAATTATAGGCCTGAGCCACTGCGCCCGGCCAGGTAAATTACTTTTGAGGCTATAAGTACTGTATAAGTCCGTTCACAAAAACACAGTAAAGCAAGAGACTTCATTAAGTTGTAAGCACACTGACCTGGCTGATTCACACTGCTGCAAATCCCTGGGAGCCAAGATTCAAAGGCAGAAATGTCCGTGGTGACAGCACCGCCACTGCCTTTGACCGAATTACAGATACGACACACTCAAGGCTTGCTTGGCAGCCAAGGGCACCACACAGCCTGTGAGTAGGAAAAGCTGAGTTCCATTTTTGACTGCCTTTAATTTCCTCTGCGGCATTGCTGAGTCACTTAATCTCTTGGGGTTGCGGTTTTCTCACCTGTAGAAGGTGGGTAAAGCTGATGGGCCTGGAGTTCCTTTCAGTTCTGGGATTCACGGAGAGTATTCTAGAGTATTCTATGTAAGGGCAGCTAGAGCACAGAAGCTCTTTAGAAATGTTCATTCGTTCACTCAGCAAAGTTTTGTTTTGTTTTGGGTTTTTTTGGTGTGTGTGTTTTGAGTTGGAGTCTCACTGTCACCCAGACTGGAGTGTAGTGGCACGCTCACGGCCACCACAGCCTCAACCTGCTGGGCTCTTCTGCCTCAACCTTCCAAGTAGCTGGGACTATAGGCGTGCACCACCATGCCTGGCTAATTTTTTAATTTTTTGTAGAGATGAGGTCTCACCAAGTTGCCCAGGCTGGTCTCAAAACCCTGGGTTGGGCAATCCTCTCGTCTCCACCTCCCAGAGTGCTGGGATTACAGGCATGAGCCACCATGCCAAACAAGCAAAGTTTACTTGAGTGCCTGCTATGCACCAAGCAAGGTTTCTTCCTATAGCTGGCAAATCCACCCTTTCTACAACTTGTAAGGAAGATTGCAGATACTCTCAGCAAATCAAGAAGCCATACAACATGATAGAGTCAAGGAACTGGTCTCAGTTTGGACAGGTGATCAGTTTCAGAAGTCCACGAAGACAAGAAGAATCAAAGAATCAACAGTTGCTAATGATCACGCTCAGGAACTGAAAATGATTAGGAAAAGTGGCAGAGATGCTGTGGTGACCATTGGCTGGTTTTTGGCCTCCAGCACCCATTTTCCTTTCCTTTAGAAGCAGCACCCTAATTCTCCTTCCTACACCGTGTGATAATGGAAGCACTGTCTCCAGCGTGCCCTTCCTGAGAAGATGGGGGTGTGCCTGAGCCAGCCAATTAGACTCTTTCCCTGCAGGGATGCACTAGGTGGGTAGTGTGATGGGAGGACCTTCTGTCCTAGGGCAGGAGATTGTGAAGACTGTGGAGTCAGTCCTGATGCTTAGAGACCCTGGCTTCCGTCCTGGGCTTGATTCTCCAGACTGGTGCTTAGAGAACGTGACTGATGCAGAGACAGGGGAGGTGGTTTGTTTTATTCTCAGTTCCTTTCATGAAATGACTATTATCTCTCTCTGCTAGATACCACAGCAAAAATCTGGAAAACGTGATTTTTCTTGATTTATGACATTGTTGATGGTTTCTTCAGGAACATCTGCCTGCTTCTCACAAACTGGCAAGGACTTAGAGATGTAACATTTCTTAAAGAGTCATTGTAATGATTATCTGAATAAGGTATTGTTTCACATTTAGTAGGATAAACTCTGTCTAATGCCTTAGCTCCTTCACATCCTCTTGTTCATGTCTTTAGTTAAGACATGACATTTCCGAGAATCTGGAGGACGTGAGGGAAGAAAAAGTATTTTCCACATCCTCACATTAAAATGGAATTTGTAGGGGGAAATATTCAAATATACAAGTTTTAAGTACTATTCACAGCTCCTGAGTCTCTATATTAGTTTTAGAAGTACACACATTTATTAGGTGGTTTGTTTTGTTTTGTTTTGTTTTGAGTCGGAGTCTCACTCTGTTGCCCAGGCTGGAGTGCAGTGACACGCTCACGGCCACCACAGCCTCAACCTGCTGGGCTCAGGTCATCCTTCCACCTCACCCTTCCAAATAACTGGAACTACAGGTACACACCACCATGCTCGGGTAATTTTTTTATTTATTGTAGAGATGAGATCTCACCAAGTTGCCTGCCCAGGCTGTTCTCGAACCCGTGGACTCAGGCAATCTTCTTACCTCGGCCTCCCAAAGTGCTGGGATTATAGGTGTAAGCCACCATGCTAGGTCTATTAGTTTTTAATTTTTTATATTTAAATATAAAAATAGTACATATTCACTGAAAATTTGAAACAAGGCAAAAGTGTAAATGTCCAAAAGTTAAGGCCAGGTACAGTGGCTTATGCTTGCAATGTCAGCACTTTGGGAGGTTGAGGCGGGAGGATTGCTGGAGCCCAGGAGTTTGAGACCAGTCTGGGCCACACAGTGAAGCCCCCATCTCTACAAAAAAATTTTTTAAATAGCTATGGATGATGATGAACGCCTGTTGTCTCAGCTGCTCAGGTGGCTGAGGTGGGAAGATTGCTTAAGCATAGGAGTTTGAGGTTATAATGAGCTATGACTGTGCCACTCCAGCCCGGCACCAGAGTGAGACCCTAACTCTAAAAAAAAAAAAAAAATCCAAAAGTGAAAGCCCCTCTCACCATTTCCACTCCCAGGAATAACCATATTAACAGTTTGTTGATAAACATAGAGACATATAAAAATATCTTTTTTATAACAAAAAAATGAGATTATGCCATCATATTGTTCAGTTATCATGCTGATTCTTTCTCATACATATAGACTGATCATTCTTTTTAAGACTGCAGATACTTTATTGCATGGGGGGTACCACCTTGTATTGATCAGTCTCCTTTAATGGACATTTTGGTGTCTTCCAATTCTGTGCAGTTACAAACAGTGCTACGATGAATATTTTTTTTTTTTTTTCTGAGTTGGAGTCTCACTCTGTCACCCAGGCTGGAGTGCGGTTGCACGTTCATGGCCACCACAGCCTCGACCTGCTGGGCTCAGGCGATCCTTCCGCCTCAGCCTTCCAAGTAGCTGGGACTACAGGCATGCGCCACCATGTCCGGCTAATTTTTTGATGTATTGTAGAGACGAGGTCTTGCCAAGTTGCCGGCTGGTCTCGAATCTGTGGGCTCAGGCAATTCTTTCACCTCGGCCTCCCAAAATGCTGGGACTATAGGCGTGAGCCACCTCGCCCGGCCACAGTTATTTCTTAACATGGATTCCTAGAAGTGCATTTGCTGGATCAGGTGGATACGCATATTGAAATTTTGATCAAAAATGTAAAATTGCCCTCCAAGTAGATGGTACCGATTCACCTTGCCTTATTTTTACCCATATGATGGAGGGGAATGTTATATCTCTTTTGTTTTAGTTTGCATTTCCTGAATCCTAAGTTTACCCACAGAAAAAAGAGAAACACAGAGATCCTCTCCAAAAGGATGTAATAACCTAGTTAAAGGGAACATATTTCCATTGATTTTTTATGTTTAATGCCATAATACCCAACACTGCACAGTTCAGTCAAAATGTCTTTGCATGCAGCTTGACACCTATGCACAGAAGGTGACTGGGGTCGTGGTTTTGGAAGATTAACCTGCCATCAGTTGATGGATGGATAAGAATGACCAACAAACGACACAGACGTGCCAGCAGAGAAGAAAATGAGTGTTTACTGAGCTGAGGATGAGCAGTCTCTGTGCCAGGAGCTGTAGTTATTTAATTCCTGCAGCCCTGTGTGGCAGGTGAAAGCATCCCCATTTTATGGATGAGGAAATTGAGGCTCAGTTAGTTAAAAACATGCCGGAGTTCACTCAACTGATGAGCAGTGGAGCTGAGATGTGAATTTAAGACCAAAGACTGAGCCTGGGTGGCTTTTACCCAGACACCACATCGCTTCACTATGGGAGACAATTTAGGAAAGAGTTTTCAAAAACAACGTGAAGAGCTTAGCTCCACCTTGGGTGGAAGGGGCTGGGGGCTGGGAATAGTCAAGGCTCCCAGGTTTCCACCTGGCTGTCGACAGCAGCGGGCCCCAGCAGCGGGAGCTGGTTGGTCGGAGGTGGCATCTGCAGGGGGGCAGGCACGAGACGGGGTCTGGGGGGAGCATTTGACGGAGGATGGTCAAAGCCACCGAGAAGAGGTGTTTCAACGGAAGTGGTGGGTGAGTGTGGGAGATGTGTAGGGGCCAAGCCTGGGGCTTGGGTACCCCGCAGTCGGATCCTGGGAGGGAAAAGGAGCCAGTGAAGGGGACCCGGAGGCTAGGGCAGGAGGGCACTGTGGAAGGCTGGGCTCCACCGGGCGCTCTGCAGGGGCAGGTGGGCACCAAGGAGCTCAAGCCACCTTAGCGGCAGATGCCTCTGCTTCCGACCAGGGGCTGTGAGCTGAAGGGACCCGCTTGAGTAACTGGCTTCTGGTCCCTTCCCACCCAGGAAGCCAGCACCCACCCTGCCGGGCGCCCCGCGTGCCACTCTCCGCCCTTCACAGCGAAACCCGCTGAGACCAGTACCTGCCAGGTCTGAAGCCGCGGCTCGGAGATCTGGGGGGGCGGGGAGGGGGCGAGCCAGGGAGGTCTGGCTTCTCGGGGGCGATGCCAGGGTGGACTGCAGGGAGGCTCACCCCGAGCCGGGGAGGCAGCCTTTCCTGCCCCTCCCCCGCCCCCTCAGCCAAGAAAGGCAGAGGAAAACGTGTTTTTATAAATAGCTCCAGCCCCAGCTGATTTGTAAATTCAGTGGGTTTTTTGTGTCAATGACATCACCCTCCTCCCCATGGCAACCCCCGACGATATGAAAATTGCCAAGCAACGTCGGAGCCGCTCGGCGCCCCCAGCGAGCAGGTCGCTGCTCGAGGCTTTAACGGAGAAATCCCG